CAAAAATTCTTTCTTAGGTCTCATGACTTGATTAGAAATTTATTAAAAATATATATTTGAATTTGAATTTAGATATTTTAATTGGAATTCTCCCTATTTTGATTCGGTATTGTTGTTAAATATTTTAAATTATAGTTCACGAGCTTTATATATTATGTTGAAAAAAAAGGAGCTTTATATGTTAATTCATAATTTTAATCTAATAAATATTAATTAAGTTTTTCTGACAAAAAATTAGATTAAGTTTTTTTTGGAGGAGAATCCCAATTAAATCCAATTAAAATAACTAAATCCAAATTTGGGCTTACGCATTTAACAAATTCCTAATTAGGTCATGAGACATCATTAGGAATTTTTAGATATTGTTAAATGATCAAAATGCTCCTTTTTAATTAAAAAAAATTGATTGCTTTACCCCTCTCAAATGATCCCTCTTTTCTCTTATGATTATCTTTTAGGACTAAAAATACAGAAATAATTTTATACTGTTTGAAATTTGTACGTATAACTAAAACCTTTAAAATATTTTAATCAAACCTTTTAAATTATAATACAAGTACCCTTCAAATAAATATTTTTTATTTTCATGCTGTGAAAATTTATTTTTAAGATTTTAAAATATCTTAATTACAAAAAATATTTTATATTAAATTGTTACAAATTACACTTCAGGGTTGGAATTCAAAGTTTTGATAAATAAATAAAACTAATCTAAACTATAAGAACATAATATTAAATATTTTTTCAATTGAAATATTTTAAGATCTCAAATTAAATATCTACGAACATAAAATAAAAAATATTTACTTTAAGGCTATTTACGTTTTATTAAAATATTTTTGAAGATTTTAGTTATATATACAAATTTTAAATACTATAAAAATTTTTATGAGTTTTTGGTTCTAAAAATGATCATAAGAAGAAAGAGATTACTTTGAGAAATAAAGTAATCAATCTCTTATTTTAGAGTAAAACATATCAACCCCTCTTCTATTTAACGCAAATTACAAAGACCTCCCTTTGATTTTGAAAACTTATATGGATCTCCCTTAAAATCAAAATATATATTGCACAAACCTCTTTTCTAGTTTTGAGATTCAACTCTCATCCACTTATCTGTTAGTTGACCTTTAAATCATAGGATTGACCCATTATCTTGACCAAATTGTCCCTTCTTAATACAAATATTACTTAATAATTATCATTTAATAACACATCATACATCTTTATTTGAAATTAAAAAATAATTTTAATAAATATTTTAATATTTTTGCTATACTATTGAACTGATTACCATAGCATAAATTTTATTAATTTTATAAATACAAATTTTTATTTTACAATAAATCTTGTTTATTTATTTAAACTTACTTGTGATGTAATTTTTTAAATATCTATTAGTAAAAAAATTTTGTGATTGTATATATATTTTTTCAATAAAATTATAAAGTTATGTTTTAATTTATTAAATTTAGTAAAAATATTAAATAGATTATTAATAAATATTAATATTAAAAGATAGACTATATAATTAAAATAATGAGGGGTAAAGAAGGAAACAAGGTTTATTCTAATAATTTTTAATTAAAAAATGTATGCCAACAATTTTTTCAGAATATTCCTTAACGGTGTTAATGGTTTGGACTAAAATATATGTCATCAAAATAGAAGGGAGATCCGTGTAATTAAGATAAAACAGAAGAGAGGTCAGAGTATTTTACTTTTTATTTTAATTAAAAAGAGGTATTCTGGTCATTTAAGAACATTCATAAATCTAAAATTAGAATTCATGTCCAAATTAGGGATTTAGTAAAAGCAAAGGCCTTAATTTAGATTTAGATATTTCAACCGAATTTTATTAGAATTTTCCTTTTGCACAAGAATTTAAGTATATTAATCAACGACAACATATATGTGTGTGTATAGAGTTTGATTCGTTCATTTATACGCCCATTCGTTATACATATGCTAATAATTACTCTTTTTGTTTTGTTTTTGAACAACTTAAATTCGATCATTTATTTTTATTTAGGAAAAACTAATATGAATGTTCTTACATTTTTATTCAGTTTTGAACCAGGTCCTTCAACGTTTTTTTTTTAATTGAATCCTTTAATTTTGTGCTGTTAGATTTATTAGTTCCTACCGTTAAACAGGGATAAACACTGTTAAAAATTTCTGTTATCTTCCTATTCCCGACCTCATTGTTTTCTCCCACTTCTTCGGCCATGTCTTGTCTCTGTAATAGCAAGAAGGCTCACGTCTCTAATTATGCCGGTCCATGTACGAAGCTGGTTCATTAAACTCATGAAAACCTTGAAATTTCAGCTGCATCCCCCATTTGTTTATATAGGAAAATGGGTCAGTCTATCTTTGGTGGATTGGACCCAAGCCCATTAACTTTGGAGCTCTAATGCAAATAACATAACCTGTAGGTCTCAAATGATGATTTGCAATTTTTCTTCAAATTATGGATAAGGACAAACAGGGGCAGAAGTTTTATTTTAAGATATAGAATCAGTTTGAGAAACTGATTTTTTTACCGGCTTGCTTTCTTCCCGCCCGTATTCTCTCTTCTCACTCTCAAACAAAATGCATTTGTTATGAACATCCATTCCGACTCCATTACCGTGATCGGAATTCCACGCATGGCTATCTAAATCTGAGATTACTTGACACTTCAGGTATGCCCGAACACCATGAGTTTATTTGATATATTTCTTCATCTCTCACACTTATCCATTTCCCTCACAGAAACTTGCCAACCGATATTCCTCCGCCAATGTTATAAAAGTACATTATGAAGACAATCTTGAAGATGGGAAGGTGGGAGAGATAGGAAAAAGAAATGAATACTGAAAAGAGGAAATAGAGATAAGGAGATCGTGGAGGGAGATCATTTGAAGACTTCAAAATGGGGTTTCTTGAAGAGTAATATTTTTCTTAGATTATATAGAGACCCAATACAAGCCAGGGGGAGCGAGAGAAGGTTGGGGGTTGTCTTACTCTTACTCAGCGATCAGTGATAAACGATTCTTGTGGGATTTTAATGTATACTACCTCCAGTCCTTAATATAAAACTATGTTTGACTTTTATTTTGGTCCTAAATATAGGACCCCAATCCACTTTGTCTCTCATATTTATGTATTTCTAAGATAGTCCTTCTAATAATTGTAGTCCTAGCCAATATAGTTGATTAGTAAGGATATTTTAGGAAAAAACCATCTATTTATTACAAATAACTAATTTAATTTCTTCCTTAATCTCCTTAAATTAGTCAATTGGATCTTATAATTAGAATCGGAGGTAGTGTTTTTTAGGAGCCTAGTTTGCTTTTCAGGAGTTGTGTGAGAAAAGGATATTAGAATCTAATTGCTGACAAGACAAAAGCAAAGATATTATAGAGAGGTGGGAAAGTTGGGAGAATGACGGGAAGAGTGAAGATGTAACAGAAATTTTAACGGTGTTTGTATTTATTTAACGGCAAGGACTCACAAATTTAACAGCACAAAATTAAAGGACCTAATAAAAAAGAAAAAAAGTTCAAAGACCTTATTCAAAACTGAATATAACTATAGGGAACTCCAAATTAATTTTTCCTTTTATTAAATATCTTGCAAGTTTTAAAATTTTAATGACTATCCTATCCTAATCCCCCAACCCCCAACCCCCACCCCCTCCCCCCAAATTGAAATTGAAATTCTATGAATTTAGCACTCCCCACAATTCTGTCACTCCTCAATTTTTCTATGAAGAGTTTAGCTATGGATTCTTACCACGTTGAGGTTAAATTGAGCAAAGGTTATCCAATAAACACAATCATCCCTATTAATCCTCAATATTTTCCCCTTGACCCTCCAAGTGGATATCAATATTTCAATGTTAGAGTTAACAAGACAGATTGGAAATGGCAAGTTGCAAACGTAGGAGAGTTCTATTCTGAATATACTAGTAGTAGATATGATTTCTTCAATATCTCAAGGAACTCAATGGAGTCAATGATAAGAATAATTCTTCTGTGTCTTGGTATTCCTATAGATGTTTATGATTCTGTGGCTGCAATGATTTTAGATCTTGGGGAAAATATGGCTGATATAACTCACAAAGACCAGAAAATGATGTACCTGGGCATGGATACTCATGTTAATGCTTATTAAGACAATAATAGTAGTGATAACGACCACGACGACAATGATGATGAAGATATAGAAGCATTTATAGTATTACATCCTGCAAGCAAATCATCTATTAAGAGACTGGAAAGCGTAGAGATTAATGAACAAGAAGGTTAGTAAAGAAGTTGTTCGTATGCCTTGCTCACATATGTTTCATAACAATTGTATTATCAATTGGTTGTTGTGTAAGAATAATTATCCATTATGTCGCTTTCAAATACCGTTTAAGTGATAGTTAATAAAACTTAGTTTTATCCCCCCCCCCCCCCAAATTTAGTGAATCAATTTGTTGATTTATTTATGGATTCAAACGTACGCATAACTGTATCGGGCCTTTTTGTTTAATAGTCTTAAACAATACACGACACAATCTCTGAGAAGGCATACAAAAATCCTTGAGAAAATGACTTCTCAAGAAAAGGAGGTCATCAACACACATTTTTACAAATAAATAATTTAACCAATTTTCTTAACTTATGTGAATAAATTATTTAACTCTCGCATTTAGGATCGGATATGGTATTTAACTTTTTACTTCAGTTTTTTAAAATACTATGTGGTACAGTAATGTTGGATTAAATTTAAACATTGACAGATTTAATCAGGGTAAATTTCTCAATGAAATTTTCCACATTCGTACAAACTTGAACTTGAAACTTCATAAGTGGCCATAAACTCTTCCACTTGGATCAACACCCTTTAATTTTTTCAGTTTAAACAATAGACACTCACATATGAACTTGTACGTGATTGCAGCAAAATTAGGTTTTACAGAGACATACGCCTGCAAGCCATTTGAAGAAAAGCATCACAAGAAAAGGATATATTAATCTTAAACTTTGATCAAACTCACGAAACTTTTGCATTATAGGAAACATAGCTCTCACATATCATGATCAGAAAATAATCTATCAAAAGCTCTATAATCCTGTTACCGCAATACTTCTTCATGTTCACTACTGTTTCACGCCTCATCAAGATCCCTCCATCAAGATAAGTTGAACATAAGAAGTCATCTAAAAATTTAAAGTTTAGAAGCACCGGGTCCATGCAAAAATTAAAACCATTCTTTAGACATTCACCTGCAAAATGCTCCCATGGTCTGCAAGGATGGATCTAGAACTTCAACCCATGTTTCTCTAACTTCTCTTGAATAATGGCATCAAGTTGTTCCGCCATATCAAACTTAAGAAAATTCTTCCAATCTCCAACTTCTCCACGTCTAAAATAAGCCTTATTTTCAATTCCATGTGGCATTTTCTCACTTTTATTCACTTTCAAATTGCTCAAATTCTCAAAACTACATAGCCTCAATATATCACCCACAATATCATCATCCTCCTCCTCCTTAGAAAAACCATACCCTATGAACCCAGCAAGGTCCTTTAATACCCTATGAGGCTCGCCCTTCATGTCCTCATATCTCAAAAACATTATTTTATTCGGATTCTCCAAACTTTTCTTGTAGTACTCCAGCATGTGATCCCAAAATGGCCCATAAGGGCCCACTCCTCTGCAATACTGCTCGAACAACTCTTCGATCTTGTTGCTCTCTTGGATTTCTGGTCTTATCATGTTCTGGAAATGCCAGGCAGAGATGAATTGGTCCTTGGGATTTCTGCACAAGTACACTATTTTACATCTCGACAACTTAATGGACTCCGGCAACAAAACATATGGTAGATGTGTCGCAAAAACCCTTGGAGACGATGAGAACAAGCTCAGATCAGGCTTGGTTTGCCCAGTGTAGAGGGTGGTCTCCAAGGTGCGTACCAAAGCATGAGGGTTGGCAGTGAGGAGAGGGTGAGTAGTGGAAGAGGGCATTCGGGTCGGGTTTGGATGATGGGTCTTGCGGTTAAGAATAGCAAAAGTGAGGGCTTTGAGCCAAGTGGTGCCACACTTCGGTGAAGTGATAAGGAGAATGTCAGAGTCATGGGCTTGAAAATGGTGTTGACAATTAAGAAGTGCTTGAAGTACTATTTTAGGGAACCAGAAACCTTGATATTGGTAGAGTTTGTGCATAGCCAAATGCCGTTCGGTGGGTAAGGTTGCAATCAGGTCTTTACACTCTTGGGATAGGCCTTCGTTATCTTCATCCCAAAGGAGGGGCAGAGCAGTAGTAGGAAGATTGGAATCGCTAGATTTTTCAGCTACCATGGTAACTATTGTAACTATGAAAGTGAATTTTATCCATGAAAGTGAAGGTAATGAGATTTTATATATGACAGAGGAAAATATCAGAGTGGTGGTGGGTCGCAGTGAGAGAAACTAAGGCCACATAATATATTAGTGGTGGTAGTTTGTAGAACTAAAACAAAATAATGGGACCGCGTCAAATCAATTCAAACATAATTGAAGGACGTATGACTGAGAAAACTTTATTAGTGCAGGTCCGGTCTTGGTGCTCATCAAGTGATGAGCGCTCAATTTGGACCATCTAGATCTAATCTGGATGGTTCAGATTTAATATTTTTAAATAATTATTTTCAAATAGAAAAAATTATTAAAATGACTTCTCAAGAAAAAGAAGTCACTAGAATTTAGAAAACATTTTGAAGGAAAAATACTTTCTCAAACGATGTTCACAAAAACAAAACTAAACATTGCTTCCATTAAATAAAACCAGTTTAGTCTTCATAAATTGCACAACAAAAAGAAATGGCATTGAAGCATCACAGTTCTAAGTACAAAAAACATCGGTGTTATCATAAAGCCAAGTAATAATAATCTGAAGTCACAACTCACATTTTAACACAGAACTGCCATGCCGAGTAATTTAGCTAAAGGTTGGGGTCAACGTCAGATTGGTTGGCAACTTCCAGCTCGTGACTTTGTTTTTCTTTTTTCATTTAAAAACGAAAAAACAAGCAAAGCATAACATAACCCAAAAAGAACAAAAATGAAAAATAGGATTCCTTTTCTTATAGTAATTAAGAAAAGGGATTCCTTTTACTCGGATTCAACCAAAGAAAGCCTGTGAATATGAATGATTAACATATACAAGACTTGAATCCAAGATAGTAAGAGCAGGACAATGGTACGAACATTATATAACCAACTTGACTTTATCTTATCTAAAAGAGAGAATAGCTTATCTCTTTTGTGCTTTCCTCCTCCTAGATTGTGCCTTTTGCCACTTCTTTCTGGAAACAAGTTTACTCTTTGGCTTCAATTTTAACTCAGGAGAGAACTTGTAGTTCGGATCTCTCATGCGTGCTTGTATGTCCTTGAAGAACTGCATATTCAGTTTTTTAGGCCCCCCTTGTCTCAGCTCTGCATACTCTGGTCCTGAGACAACATTCTCAAATGCTCCAATTAGAATATCTATATCACTCATGACCTCCCACACATTGGTGTATCGCCCATCAGGACCCTTCTTTAACTTCTTCAAAGCATTCTCAACTGCAAGCTTCCTTGCTTTTTTTCCTGGGGACAACTCTTCAGGTTCCTGTTCGGATTTCAGTAACTCTGAGATGGTCCGGTACTTGGGCATTTCTTCAAACTCGAATAATTTATCTATGTATTTGTCACTACTTTCATTTGGGTAAGGTTCTGTAGGAATATCATCATCACTATCCATTTCATCACCAGTCCACAGCGTCTTCTCTTCATCGCTGCCAGACCAAACACTTCTTAACTCATCACTGTCATCAGCATCTATCAGATCTGAATGCTCTTTAGCTTGCTGTCTTACTTTCCGAATTTCTTTCTTAAGACGGCTTTCTGAGTCCTCTTCTCCACCACTTTCATCCTCACTTCCAGTCCACAGAGTGTTATCTTCTTCCATCTCTTTGGCCCAAGCTTCTCTGAACTCTTTGTTCCCTGGTATTCCACTTCCAAAGAGATCATATTTCTTGGGTCCACCACGAGCATATGATCTCAATCCTGCAACATTTAATTCATGAGGTCAAAAGGATCCACACCATAAAACTATCGTTAACAGCAAGTTTGGGGTCAATAGAACGTTTCTTATGAATTTGGTCATATGCTATGTTAGAACCAAGAAAAACTAGGCATGGAGTTGAGAGAGAGAGGATCTTGGTTAATTTATGAGGCAAAAAACTTGCGTCATAAACTAACAAGATGATAGGAGAATCTCCTAATAGCATAAAACTCTGGCGACACAGCAGAGGGAGTTATCCAACATGAATAACTTCTTTGTCCACAGAATCTGACTCAGCCTTTCTGGCTTCCTACGCCTACTATATATTAACAAGGGACTCCTATCATCTTATTATGTTGAACCTCAAATTTTTGCTTCCCTGAAGAATTTATTGCACACAAGATATAGTTCTTTTTTTTTTTTTAAAGAAAATCTTACCTTGAAAATTCAACAGAGACCCATTCTTACAACAACTCTGTAAAGCAATGGGGTTCACAAAGTGTTTCTGACCTGTAAGGAAGACATACAAGAGAAGGTTCAGCTAATGCCAATGAAGTATGATGGAAACCAATATTTTCAATATAGTATGAACAATAAATCTTCACACAAGTGTGCATGAGAAGAACCCTGGCCTTGGAGTATTGGCAGCCATTGTGATTTTGCAGGCCTTAGAATACATGAGAGAAAGCTAGTGCGGAAGCAAGACCTCCAAGCCATTACTTGCTCAATAAATAAGGTTCAGGAGCTCCAAACTCTTCAATGAAGTAGGTAAACAAGAACTCTTAACAGTCCCTGGGAGTCAGATTGGAATATCAATAACCTTTTGCATCTATGAAATTATTTACTAGGTTTACAAAAAGTGATTGATCAAACTAATTATGGATAGAAATATTAGCAAGTTGTTAGAAATATGGGAGTAAATTATCAACTTGAGGCGCGTTTAGTATCACTGTTTTTAATGATATTTCATCTACAAGAGTATGCATCACTTAGGACTCAACAACAGGAATTATCAGAATAAATTACCATCCGTGTGATATAGACGAAAGATCAGAATTTCAAATTCTCAATCATCCCTCTCCTTTCGCTTCTCCTCCCCTCCGATTACGATAAGCCGAAAACCTTCTGCTTCCACCGCCCCTTCGAATGCCCAGATGCTCCTCCACCGTAAACAAGGTTGCCGGGTCTTCTCCGTCAAATCTCTCCAAGAAGAGCTGGAGAGGAAAGGGTCATTAAGCATGGAGAGGAGAGAAGAGGGAGAAGATGTCGTAGACGAACCAAGAAGAGCTGGATTAGGAACCCGTCGAACTCCCCTGGTCCTTCGTCCTTCTCTTTTCTTACCTTTCTTCGGCTGCTCCCTCGCTGTGTATCGTTCATTCCCCTTCTACTGTTTTCTTTTTCTCCTCAGCCGCGCCTCCGCCTCCCGCCTCCGTTCTTCAGCCGCATTTCCCTAATAACTGGAAATTATAAATTATAAAATGCTCCTCTGCTTATTAATACATTAATACAGGACATAATTAATTAATTTAGATAAATTAAAAATATTGGTTAAATTAGTTAATATGATTTTTCTAAAATATATATATAACTTTCTTAATTCTTTTCTTCTTTTTACTACTTGATTATTGTTAGGAAAATATCAATGAGGTTAATTTAGAAAAAAAGTAATAAACATATAGAATACATTAAACATATAGAATACATCTGACACTCTAATTAGTTCCTATGTTAAGATTAGAAGAATAATAAAATTACTAAACCACCCTTAATGTCCCCAATACTTTTTTAACAAAAAAGAATAAAAAAATAAAAATCAACATAATAAAAGTGAAATTCTCACTTGAGTCCCACAGAAGGGACGTTATCAAAAATAAGTCTCAAAAGATTCAAAAAAATCAGTTGAGTCTTTTAAGCCTAAATTGACATTAAGCTTGACAGCAAAATGACAAAAGCAACCCTGAGTAATAAAAGAAGAAATAGATGGATGAAAACAATCACAGATGGAGCGGAACCCATTGGCCATGTGCTCTGCTACCCCTTGGTCAATAATGCAAGGGTGATTATTCTCTTTTTACAAGAGGTAAAGTCAAAATTTTCATTTTAGAAAGTCTCATCTTATTGGTCTAAATTGTTAAAGAGTTGTAGTTTGAGATGAGCTTGTAGTGTAAGGAAATGGGTATGGAAATAATGGGTTATTTGACAGGGTATGTGGTAGAAATGTACCTAGTTTGTTTGGACGAATGGGTGAAAATGATAGATGTGGATGGTATTAAATTGATCTGTCCAGAAAAAAAGTGTAACCTTGTGTTGTGAAAATGCAAATTTTATGTTGTAAATACACTAGTGATAGTTGTAGTTAAAGTTTTGCTAAGCAATTGAAATTTACACAAGTACCATTATCATTTTTCTATTCTGTATTTGCAAAATGCATATCTTCACTTGTAACTTATTTATGAATACTTGAAAAGTATGAGTTGTAAAATTTCATATGAATAGATTGTTATTTTTCTTTTTTTTTTAATTGTTAAAATATGTATCCCCACTTGTAACTTACCTATGAGGAGTTATGAAGTGGGAGTTGTGAATTTACATATATACCATTGTCATTTTTCTATTCTTTATTGCTATAATCCATATCTTCACTTACTTATGAGTACTTGAAAAGTATGAGTTATAAAATTTCATATGTACAGTTGTTTCTTTTTTGTTGTCAAAAAATGTTTCCCCAATTATAACTGTAAATTTGAGCACTTACAAGTACTTATGAGATAGCTGTAAATTTCCACATGTACTATTGTCATTTTTCTATTCTGTATTTCTAAAATGCATATCTTTACTTGTAATTTATTATGAGCACTTGAAAAGTACGAGTTGTAAACTTTCACACACACACACACGTAGTTATTATTTTTATATTATTTGTTATTAAAACATGTACCGCCACTTATAACATACTTACACGAGCACTTGTGAAGTGAGAGTTGTGAATTTTCATGTATAGTGTTGTTATTTTTTTAATTTTTTGTTGCTAAAACGCATATCTCCACTTGTAACTTCCCCATATTTTTTTTTTTGCAAACTTGTAGCTTACCTATATGATTATGTAAATTGGGATTTATAAAACGAAAATATCATTTCACTGCATCACTTGTTTTCTATTTACATTGTACAGTTAGAAATGTTACTACAAAAAACATGTCATTGCAATAAAATGACTATTTCTTTAGGCACATTATATTCCTGTATAGTTTTAACTAGTGATTGGCTATTTCTTTCACCTTGCTCTGTGCAATTAGATTTGATCCAGCCGTATGGGATGAGTCACAAGCCCCTGAATAAGTTAGGCTTTATTACATCAAGTTGTTCCTATATCGCGAGTCCTCTGATTAATAACCCATATGTGCAACATTGTTATCAAAATAATATAGTACCTCCGGTAATTAATATAAGAGTTGGTTTGATTTTTAATTTGGCTCTAAATATAAGATTTTAATTCATTTTGCTTCTCATGCTTATTTATTTTTTTAAAATAATCTTTATAGTAGTTGTACATGTTAAATGTTTAATCAAATGGTAGTTTTAGCTAATAATACCTTCGATCTTTAATATAAGACTTTGTTTGATTTTTATTTTGATTCTAAATATAAGACCCTACTCCACTTTGTTTTTAATATTTATACATTTTTTTAAAAAATAATCCTTCTAATAATGATAGCTCTAGCCAACACATTTGATTAGTAAGGATATTTTAGGAAAAACAACACCTATTTATTACAAATAACTAACTTAACTTATTTTTTTAGTCTCCTCAAATTAGTCAACTAACTCTTATAATTAGAACCGGAGATGGTACATAAGAAGCAAAGGCATTTTAGAGAAAACAATACCTAATTACTCCTCCGGTCCTTATTAACCAATTAATTTTCATAAAATCTGAAATGGATAATAAAATAAAATATATTCTTCCACACAAAAAATATATTCGCTGGAAAATAAAATAAAATAAATTATATTCTAATTAAACTTAATCATTCAAAATTCATTACTAAAAAACTAAGCAAAGAGAATAAAAAAAATATAATATATAAATATGGTTTATTGAGCACTAAATATGATTGATACATGTAATATGGACAATAGAACCAAAGACCTTTTTTTGTTTTTGGGGAAAAATCAATATTTAACTCACTAAATAATTTTAAGTCACGCAAGTTTAGTTTAAATAATTTTTAAGTAAAAATCTAATTCCGAATCCAAGACCAACTTCACACTTGAAAGCCCAGGCTAATCTTCTCATTACTCACTTCCATACCAGGAATAAAGTTTTGACATATTACCTCCGGTGACTCTGTTTGACTTTTTAACTTTAAATATAAGACTCTAATCTATTTTGTCTATTGTATTTATGTATTTTTTTCATTTAGAAAAAATAACACCTATTTATTACAAATAACTAATGTAACTTTTTTCCTAATAATTTCTTTAAATTAGTTAATTAGTTTTTATAATTAGGATGAGAGCTAATATTTAGCTAACAACTTCATGGAATGATTGGCTAGAAGATCCCTAGTCACTGATCGGCAGTCAACCAAGCAAGGTTCGTACACCAGGTAGTCAGTCTCACTCCAGCCAAGCCAGTTACCAACCAGCAGGAAGCACTGGTAAAGATTGGCTCCCCTTGAGGAAAATAATAATGAATCCGCCAGGCCAGGGCCAGTCTGTGGCTGAGCCTCTAACTTTTTAGTCATAGATCGACCAATTTTTAATCTAACTAATACTATTATCTCCTGTCTTAAAATGAGAATTTATTTAATTTTTATTTTAATTTTAAATATAAGATTTTAATTCACTTTATTTATTATATTTATCTTTTTTTTTTAAAATAGTCCTTGCAATAATAATAGTTTCAGCAAATATATTTGATTAGTAGAAATATTTTTAAAAAAATAATACCTATTTATTGTAAATAATTAAATTAACTAAATTTTTTGATCTATTTAAATTAGTTAACTAGTTTTTATATTAAAGATTGAATGCAGTAGTAAACAGGAAAAAAAAAATTAATAGAGCAGTAAATAGCTCTTCGGAAAACAAAAATTGGAGCGAACATATACTGCAAAATATTCCATGCCATGAACATCCGCTGAGAGAGCCGCACATGGTTCAGGCTTCAGAGGAGGACACTGTTCCCATTTCCCAAAAGGTGTTTCCCAATCGGAGAGCAGGGCCTCGTTTGAAGGCGGAAAAACACAGCGAAAAAGCTCCCGGCGAGGATCGAACTCGCGACCTTTCGCTTACGAAGCGAACGCACTACCACTATGCTACGGAAGCTCCTGTGACGCTCGCTCTGGATTGATGTTTTCTAAACAGATATTCATTTGGAAGAAGTCGTCATCCCCGACTCTGAAGTCAAAACCCTTGAAGAATCTTGTGCTCCGGACGTCAAGCACGTTCTTTGTAGTTGCAGCGCTAGGAGAAGCAAGTAAGCAAGAGATGTGTGGTATTGCTCTGATTGTCTCAGGCGTTCGGATTGACATTTCATGTTTGTTCTTGGATTCGACATGCCCACCACACAAAACAGAAGATGTAAGTTCAAAATGGGCAGGATCTGTGCATTTCTGATAGAAAAACATTGTTTTATCTTGAAGTTAGATGGTGTTTTGTTTGATGTAGTTGCAAAATTCTGCCTATGTACGAACTTATTTATTTCTTCAATTGTTGGTTCTTATTTGGGTGCTGTGCTTCAGTTGGTGTTCTCTGTAGATGATCTTAAAGCAGCTCTACGTAGAAGGGGTCCTGATAGCTTAGGTAGCAAGAAAGTGAATCTTCAATTCAACGTCTCAGGTCAAAAAAACATTTCAACTTTCATTGAAGATGACGAGGCATTGGAATTGGGGGCAGACATTGAGAAGTTGCATATAGTACTGTCTGGAAATAAATGTGATTGTGTCTCCTTGGATAACGGGCTGCCTTGCTCGTTATACAATGCTGGTGTCCAAAGTCCGTCTGCAGAACTGCATTTCATTGGTGCAACCTTACAACTCAGGGGAATAAATCCGCTCGTTCAACCTTTGGTGGATTCGCATGAAAACATCCTTGTATACAATGGTATTCTGTATTTTCTCTGCATTTTTTTTTTGGCTTAATTGACATCCTGCCCATTTTTTTCTAGTAGGCAACAAGTATAAGTGAGCATGTAAATTGAAATATCTCTTTCCAATTTGAAGTTATTCTACTCAACATGTTTTCACAGAGCTTAAAATTGTAATTCCTTGAACCTACAGGCATAGGTCCAGGTCTTGAATATCATATGCCTGTTTGTATCTTTTTGCATGTATTCCTCTCTCGGTAATCAGGAACTCATTTTAGTTTGCTACATTTGCTTATATTGAAAATTTTGACATTCTGTTTTATTGTGCTGTTTTTCAGGTGAAATTTTTGGAGGAATCCATATTGCAAGTGATTACAATGACGCTGAATTTCTCATGCAAGCACTTGGAAAGTGCGGCTCATGTGATTCTATTCCTGATCTTCTTTCTATGATTAAAGGACCATGGGCTATCATCTACTGGCAGGTAACTCTGAGTGGTAAGTTTCCATCAGTCGAAATAAATTGTAGCATCATTTTCCTCTCCGCTATGGTGTTAGAAGTTGTGCTTCCTTTGCCATTTGTAGGATAGCTCAAGAACCCTTTGGTTTGGCCGAGATGCATTTGGTAGGCGGAGCCTGCTTGTTCACTGGCCTACAGAAGATGACCCAACCTTTATGCTTTCTTCTGTATCTCCTCTTTCACCTATTGAGAAGGTTTCTGGTATATAACCTTTCAACTTTGAGTTATATAACGCTTTTATAGTCTATCCATTTTCTTTACTGCTTCACATGTGGCATCATTGATTTTAGATATAGGTGAGCTGTAGTTTTATTATTTTCTTGATTGCTTAAGCCTCTCATGGCTATGCCAAGTTAAATTTGGTTTAGTTAATATATTTGCAAAATCCATGAGTGAAGTATTTTTTTTTTTCCCTTATATAAATTTCACTTAAGACTTATTTATTACTTAGCAAGATATTAAATCTATGGTAATTTTATTAAGTGATTGGTTACATCTCTATCCAGTGCATTCTATTTAATAAATATATTTACTTGGCATAATAATGATTACATAAAGCACGAGACATCTTAAAATCAAATAAGCACGTGCTACAATTTTAGTGTAAACATATTGTCACATATTTTTCAATTCAAGTAGTTTACTATATGAAACATCTGATATAACATGGAGTTTATCACAGTTAAATAGGTATTTTAAATTCAAATGAACGTGTATGTTAAGCGTGTATGTTAAATTCATATATATCATCCTAGTTTTCAGAGGATGTTACAGTACAAATCTTCTATTCTTGCACTTTTGGCTCCAATTCTGAGTACTTCACGGATAAGAGCAGAATCTACTGTCTCTGTTACACAACTAAGATTATTGGAACTACTGTTAAAAGAATACTATGTGCTATATCTCCTAGCATTGTGGTACTATGTTTCGGAGAAATGGTTCTGAAGCATGTGCAGATTCGGGATATTGTTATTAACAGGATACCATGAATGCTACTTATTTATTGACTGTTTACCCCATCCTGTTCATTGTCGAAACTTTAAGGGTCCATGTCAAAAATGAAGGGCTTATGTCATTCATTTGTAAATTTAAATGTCTCAAAATTTTCCTGCCTAAATTTAATAAAATGCTAAGATAATTTTTTAAATCAAGCACTCATGACAATATGAAACTTTAGAGCCTTTCAACTGCCAACAATTTGGCGTCAACTTTCTAATTTTTCATCATGTCACATTTTCTACTATGTGAGAAAAATTATTTGTTGAGAATTGTGAAGATAAATAGCTTGGAGAGAGCCACTAATGATGGGATGTTTTATTAGATAAGAATGGTGTGATGTCAAATGTTAGGGTTATTTACATCTAGCTTAATCATCTTTTCTTTTTCCTCCCTTTTCTTTTTTCTCATGTTTTCACGCCACTTCAATTTTTTTGCTTGATATTTGGGCTATAAGTCTAATATATTTTCTCTCCTTTCAGATTTGTGTTTCTCTTAATGTTGTTTCTATCCTTTAAATATTATGAGGGTTTGTTCTTGGTTGGCACTGTTTGAATTGTTGAAATAAAACTTGCTATTATCGGAAATATTAAGTAAAATAAACCATGAAGCTTCAAATGGAACAGGCTATCTCAGTTACTGGGAAGAGCTACCATGCGGAATATACAGTGTACATGTTGAGGCATCAAATTCTAATCGGGGACTGATTGGTGAAGTCAGAAGACATGAATATACAAACTCAACGCTAAAGGAGCTTATCAAATGGGAGAGAACTTCTATTGAACCCAAACCTGAAGACCTTCGTACATCCCAATATGAGTCTTCTAGGATGCAACACAATGTGCATTCAACTCTGTTGGAGGCAGCTGCATGTGAGACAGGTAATTATCTTATTATATTGGCAGAATGTGGCATTGATTCATTTGAACTTGCCGCTTTTATAATGTACAGAACTTTGATTGAGGCTGCAGCTTTTGCTTTCAAGTCTTGTTAGGCTGTGATAGGTCTTCATTTTTTTCTTTTTGAGCAGGCCCAAATCAATTCTCATTGCCAGCTCATTCTCTGCTAAAGACTTTAAAGGAGTCTGTGTTTCGGCGCACTTCATTGTATACTATCTATCAGGTGTGAATCTTAGTGAATTGAATCACAAATGTTGTAGTTGTATGTGGTTGATAAGATAGTGTAAATGTGATCAGTAGCTCCAAAATGGATCCCTGAATTCTCCATTTCTCCACATAATTTGCTTGCCTTTAATTTTTGTCCGGCTGTTAGTGTACTTAAGCTGCATTTTATGTATTGTTTCTTGGGTTTTGTGATAGAGAGATGCTTCTGGATGGATAGAACATGCCACTGAAACATTTTAGCTCATCTATGAGCTTTTCCAGTGGCTGTATGCTGGCGGTTGTAGCTGATGCCAGTTGTCTCCATAAACAGGAGGGTTAATTCATGTTATTTGCTAGCAAGCTAGAAAAAATGCAATAAACTGGTATTCTATGGGACAAAAAAGACTTCTGTTTTAATTTATGGCTGGGATTGGCATATCTGTTTTCTTGATATCTTCTTGATAACCTTTTAGATGACAGGAACTTGTACTTTTCGATCTTGCTAATGCTGATACTTTGGAATTTGTGCTTGATCTGTCCTTTTCTTTTGGTTAATAGTATTTATATTTGTTATAGAACTCTAAGGCTTTTTTTTGGCATAGGCGACAATCTCTGATGTTGGACAAGAAGGTTATGTTCCTGTGGCTGTTCTGTTTTCTGGTGGCCTGGATTCCATGATACTTGCAGCATTATTGGATCAATGTCTAGATCCCTGCTGTCAGTGTTGCTACTTCAGCTCCTTTTGTTTACTGAGTTGACATTTAGTTCCTTGTTTGGTGTTAAAACAAATAGTGTTGGATAAAATGTTTGGCAAATTTCATTTTTACAAACCTTCAGCATAGCTGATCGTCTATTCCTGTTTGTATTGGCAGATGAAATTGATCTACTTAATGTGAGCTTTGATGGCCAGTCTGCTCCTGATAGATTATCTGCCAAGGCTGGTTTAGAAGAACTAAAAAGAGTTGCACCTTCTAGAAGGTATGTAATTGCGACTTAAGTTTTCCATAGATATGTTTTTTGTGCTCTTTTTTTTTTTTGGTGTATTATCGGAAAAAACTTTTGCTGGAATGTAAATGTTAGCTCCTGTTGCTCACTTATTTTAAAACTGGCTCTATGCATAACTTTGAGCATTTTATGCACGTATTTATATGGAGAGGTTTAAAATTTATTCTGAAATACTAAGTTCTACTTGTTATTTTGGATGAGTGATTTTATAAAGGAGTCAAGGAAATGCTGGATTTCTCATCTTATTCCATAGAATAGGGAAAAGTGAAGCCTTTCTTCTGAGTTCAGAAGTGATCCAAAAGGCATGTTCTGTAGTGCATTGATTAGTTGAAAATTTTCATTTTGTAATTAAAATGAATTCCACAAGTTTAATTAGAAATAGAGGCAAATCTTACAAATTCCTTGAACATTGGATGCTACATATTGAATGAATATTTGACAAACCCAAGCATCTGTTGAGATCAATTCGTATATGTAGGTTTGGAATTTTACGAATGCAGTTGCGAGGTTCAGATTGACTTCGCAATATTTAAATTTTCGCATACCTAGGTGGGAACAAAGGTATAAGGAAGCTGTATTTGGATATTTTTTATTTGAAACAAGATCAAAGTAAAATCTAACTGCAATTAAAATTTTGCTGATTGATTGATAGAGCTCAATGGCATGTAGCCGATCCCACTTAATGGCATACTTAATGGCATAAGACTTTATTGTTGTTGTGATCTTATTACATAAGACAAGTGAAAAAAATTGTTATCATGGAAATATTGTTGAAGACTATAATTGAAACTCCTAAGTTTGATGTTGCATTTATATATAAAGAATTTTTTAACCTTTAAAATATATCTAAGAAACAGTAATTCACCATAAGAGGGGAAGGATATTCTTTGTTAGATTTTTGTGGACTATCCTGATTCATTATTATAATAATTCATATTATCTTTGCTATTTACATAACCCTTTTAAGGTAATCAACATATCATGGAGTCAAATTTCTGTGTGATAATGCCTTGGGTTTAATATGATTTTATTATCCCCCCTAAGTAGAAGTCCATCCTTCATTTTATAAGTTTTTGCCTCCAGGAAGCATATATTTGGTACATTAGTGATGAATATCAGGAGCCTTGACTGTTAATTGTCAAGGATAATGAATGATAAAAGAGGTTTTTGTTTGAGTTCGCGAAACTTATGAAGTACATCTTGCTTGCTTTGTTTATATGGTTTCCACTGTTATGATTATGTCGTTAGTGTCATGTATAATGTGACTGACCTGTTAAACACTATTCATTGTTTTTTTTTAAAAAAAAAATTGTTGGTGTCTCTAAATGTCCAGTTACAACTATGTTGGAAGTGCAGGTGGAGGCTCGTTGAGGTTGATGCCGAATTGTCTGACTTGGCTTTTGAAACAAGTCATGTTATGTCACTCATAGAACCTGCAAATACTTACATGGTACTAATTTAATTATGTGGACCAGCAACTTATTATGCGGAGATTAAAGTTTGCTAGTGTTAGCATAATAAAGAAAGAATCCTAGATGCCTTTTCGTCTGTTCTTTTCTCAAATTCATTTGAATTTATCTTAACTTTAATTCTCTTCAGAGCCTTTCAAGGTTATAGTGATACAGTTCTTCAGAAAATTATAAAACTGAAAGAGAAAAAGCGGGTCCTCTTTAAAATTATCAACGTGTCCTTTACGTCAGATGAACTACTATTTCTGATCTGACCATGCATAAGTAGTTTGCACTTATCCTTACAGGACTTGAATATAGGAATTGCTTTATGGCTTGCTGCTCGTGGTGATGGATGGGTGTCTGATGGAAATAGCGATGGCAATGACAACAATCTTGCACGTATTAAATACAAGTCCAAAGCAAGGATTTTACTTGTTGGTTCTGGTGCTGATGAGCAGTGTGCTGGCTATGGTAGACACAGAACAAGTTATAGACGAGGAAGGTATTGATATGATAATGCTAAATCATGGCAATTTCTTTGTGCCTCCTATGTTCATTTGATTCTCTATTATGGTATAAATCAGCATGGATTATATGATTGGTTGGTTTCAATGCTTTTATAATTGTGATTTCTTTCATCTTTCTATTTTGTTATATGGGTGACTTCATATTACAAATGGGGGGAAAAATGTTAAGACTGTGGAACTTTCTGCGGGAAAGAAAGTCAGGGATCAAATTATTAAAAACTTACAATGAAGTGAATGCTGTAATTAATTTGAACTTTCAAGAGCTATTCAGATAACAGGGTATAGTACGTACTGACAACTAATTAATGCTTTGGTTATTGGCATGGGGGTTGACCTTGTATTCATTTTGATAGTGTTATAAATGCTTGCTTAGAGCAGGGAACGTTATGGAAAGTATTCAGTGTTCAGTGGACAGTTCCAAACTGGCAAACTCTCCAGGTCAATTAGTTTTTCAATACATTCTGATGTTACCATGTGCCTTTTTCAGTTGGCTGGAGCTTGACAAGGAAATGAAACTGGACATACAGAGAATTTGGAAAAGAAATTTAGGGAGAGATGATAGATGCATTGCTGATAACGGAAAGGAGGTAAGGTGAATATAATAGGTCAAATATCAGTAGTCATTTTGTCTCAGTTCACCTGCCAGCAACTCTAAACGTTTTTCCTTCTAACATTCTAGGCTAGATTTCCTTTTCTGGACGAGGATGTCATGAGGATCTTGCTCAATTTTCCTTTGTGGGAGGTCACCAACCTTGATCAACCAAGCGGAATTGGTGATAAAAAGATTCTAAGAACGGTATTGCCATTTATGGGCTGGGTTTTGATGATCTAGTATTGTCCTGGCTTACAATTATTATGAATGGTTTTGTAACTATGAATATGCTACTGGTTAATAGTGATTTTGTGTTTGTCTACTATCATAAAAAGCACTTTTTGACTTGAAAGTGCTTTAGAAACTAATTGAAATAGCTTCTCCAAATAATTAAAGAAAAATACCGAAGTTTTTTAAAAGCGTTCTTCTAAAAGAAAAGTGATAAATTTCCATTAAAAAAGCTCAAGCAGACGGACCTCAAAGTATGTAAAGGTTAACTGTGCCCATGTTTTCCCCTCAAAATCTTAGTGATTACCTCACATCAATTAGTAATCTCTGGTTGGTAACAAGAGCTTGCAGACATCAACGAACATAAACAGCTTTCAGGACCCATGAAGGATGTCACGTCTTGCTCTTGTGATATTGATGTATCGGTAAAATTGTTTTCCTGGATATATTTCACCAAAAAAAAAACATTGTTTTCCTGGATATGCAAAACAATAGATTTTATTGCAGTAGTTAATATATCAGATAATTTCCGTTGAGTTTTCTGACACATTTATTTTAATTTTTACTAGATTATGAGCTCTTATAAATATAAAATGAAACTAGGGCAATTCTGATCAAAGTTTGAATCTTGTGCGTAACATTTTTCGTGAAGGTTGCACAATTGCTTGGTTTACATGAAGCGGCAGTGTTGCCCAAACGAGCGATCCAGGTTTGCATCTCTGAAAATTGCTACACTTCCTGTCTCAGGTTAAAATGAATGAAGTAACAGGATCTTAAAAGCTAGGTCATAGTAATAGAAGAAAAGTTATTTGTGAAAAATACCTAATTGAAAATACAATTTTATGAGGGACTAAATTGATGTTGATGTTGATTTTGATTTGTTGATAAAGCATCTTAGATACCGTAGAGCAAAAGGAAAAATGCATATAAAATGCAATGCCACTATGCTTCTTTATCCTTCATTGTACTGTTGTGTCATTATTAAACGTTAGTTTTACTTTTACCTCTCCTCTCAGCAGCTTGGTGATTAATTAGTGTTTGTTTCTTTGAACCGAATTGTATCGGTGTAGTTCGGTTCCAGAATTGCGAGGGAGTCCAATCGCAAGAATTTCGGAAGTAACCGGGCTGCAAATCAGGCATCCGCTGGCAGTGTGATGATTCACAGTAAATCCAACCTGAGTTGATTCCTTATTTCCTCATCTTTTGACCCACAACACCTATCGCCTTAATCCAGAGCACCTTGTTTAATATAAGCTTCAAAAAGATATATCTTTGTTTCTCTAACATCAATTCAAGTCATGAGTATTGTGAAGCAAAAAAACTCATGTAGGTCTTCTTTCTTTCTTTCTTTCTTAGTTTTTTTTTTCCCCCGGGTGAAAAGGGTCTGCTGTTAGTTGTATGGCTTAATCATTGCCTTATGGCCTTTGATTTATTTTTATATAAAGAAAAATCAGCTCAGATGGAGCAAGTACCGAAGTGTATGTAGCATCTATTTTTCCCTGGAAATTTATGGTCATGTTGGATTTAAAAGAGAGTTGGAATAATTTCCCTCGAGGATTGAAGGGAATTATTGCATTTTTTATCACATTCCATCTTTCTTAATGTGAGATGGATGTTGATGAAAGAAGTCCATTTTTCTGCTTGTAATCTTGACTTTGTTCTTTTGTGATTAATGGGTATATAGTTTCTACTCTAAAAAAGAAAAAAAATCCTTGCAACTTGCTATGTGACTTTTAATTAGGGAAAACTAATCTAACAGTCCTTATAGTTTCATCATGTTTTGAATTGGGTCCTTGTATATACATATATACAAGGACTCAATTCATAATTTTTTTACAACATTCATATATAGTATATACAAGGACCCAATTCATAATTTTTTTACAACATTCATATATACCTAAGGAGATAAAATATGTAAAATGCATTGGCACTTTGGCATCACCCCCTTGCTCCTTAAAATATGAAATTGAAATATATTGGATTGCACACCAGAGAAATATTGATGCACAAACATAAGAAGATGGATGCTTGGACAGCATATTGAAGCGGTAACAATAAGCCATCATAGCGATCGACAATATACATAGTCAAAAACAATACAAATTGATGATGTTAAAACATTACGAGGAAGTTTGAAGACCCTGATATTCAATTAAAAATTTTCACGCATGTAAAGATAATTTTTTTTTACATACTTTTATACACTGTCACACATCTAGATCTCTTATTATATCCAAGCCTACGCCAGCTTCTGCGGTGACACCATATGCATGAACTCAGGGTCCCTTCCCATGGCTTCCAATATTTCATGGGAAGCACACATCTCAAAGTGAAAGCTACCTTCTTCTGCTCCGGCATCAGCCGCCAGCTTCCAACACCTTGTGTTGGCGGGACCAAGGTGAATCGCCACCGGCCTTCCCCAACCAAAGTCAATGTCATAAAATTTGGTACTAGGGGAGCTACAAGTTCCCATGAACTTCCCAATTGTGGCACGTTGTGTGCGGAATGTTGGATTTTGTACCCAAGCTTCAAAGTCTCTCTTGATCTTCTCTTCTGTGCATGATGAGATTGCCTTGTTCAACTCCAAACCAAACTTCCCAAGGCCTCCATCTCCCACCAAGTCCCTTACTTTCATTGTCACAGTAGTGAATTGCACGGTGGGTCCAAAATAGTTGTCTGGAATTGGTGGGTAAGAAACTTTGGATCTAGCATATATGAGGAATCTGTAAGTGACTTCTTCTTCTGGGTCAAGCTTCTGATTTCTGATTGCAGACCTCCAAACATGGCCTAGCACAGCATGCAAGGAGGAGATTTTGTTGCTAACGACACCATCCTCTACTTGTGAGTTAGCTTTTGCTTCGAGTTCAGCAATTTTTTCCTTTTTAAAGTGAAAGAACCTCCTAGAGAATGGGGGTGGCTGGACCAAATTAGCTGACGCCTTGCTATAATTCTCCATCATTTCTTTGAATGGAATTTGCAGGGGGCGTTTAATATTATCACTAGGGAACCACCTTTCAAATGTAGCGAGGTTTGAATCAGACCTTACGTGATTCAAACCATTTCTGGAGAACCCTGCCCATGCATTCCAGAAATCTCAAGCTGGCTTCACATCAACAAGACTATGGTTGGTCGAGTAAGCGACAAAGATGCCATCCACTAGCTGTGTGACTTGAACCGCCATTAATGGGACCTGAGTTCCTTCAAAGTTCTTGAATTTTCCAGTTGGGAAGAAGGAGTAGAGAATTTGTGGAACATAAGTAGGTTCAACAATATCAGCAATTGTAGTATTCTCTGCAACAGCATGAACAAAGCTTACTCCGGCATTGTTGCAATTGATGAAGACGGAGGAGGTGTCATCGTCGTCGTTGTCGATGATGGCAAGACGGCCGGCGAGGGGTGGGTAGAAGTCGAGGGCCATAGAAAGCGAGTCCTTCAAGTGCTGGATCACTGTCTCTGAATGTTGGAACGACGAGGATGATGAAGTGGGTTTGTGATAAAGAAGCCCCTTTTGAGCATACTCAAGAACAAGATACTGAAGATCCCATGGATTCATGTCAATTAGTTTTGGTGAGTCGCCATTATTAACGTGGCTTCGAGCTTGAACTGTGGTTGTGGAGATCACTCTGATGGCTTCCATGGGGGATAAAGTTCCTGCTGTTTCCCTCCGCGATTGATTTAATATGCCGCAATTGCTTTCAATAACCTATTAAATTGTGAACCAGATAGTTATGGAACAGGTGAGCGTAATTGACGGGGGACCCAATAGTTGAATCATGTTATATATTAATTGTTTTTAACTAATTGGCCAGATGGGAAAACTACTCCCTCCGTCTCTAATTATAAGATCTTTTTTTTTTTAATGGATTTGTCTATTTTTATAAGGTCTCTTTTAAGTTTATCTAAACATTTAATGCATTGTTACCTATTTTATCCCTAATGAATTTCATATATTACATTCTCTCTCTATTTATCTTATTATTATTCTCTTACATTTATTAGGAGTATATTTGAAAAAAAACTTACATTTGTTACATATTAATTACTTTTAACTAATTTTAACTATTTTCTTAAAAAGCATAATTTGACCAAAAGATTCTTATAATTAGGCACGGAGTAGTACTAATTTTGTTTTCTATTAGCCAAGTGCCATAAGTGCCAGGGACCAGATATATGTGATATGTATTTTTTTAATTTTATATATGATTCTAAAATACATGCGTTCTTTATTATTCATCTTTTTATCATAAAATTTTGAAGCAGGTAAGATCATACAGATTTTTTTTTTTGGACAGAAGTAAGATATCATATAGATTAGATACCTACTTTTGTTTTAATAAAAGTTTACTTTTAGTTTTTAATTAGAAAAATCAATATTTTAATCCTTATGATAATCATCATTGAGTTATCTGATACAAGAAAACATATAATTAAAATCATTAAACATTGTTCTTGGCCTTTCCATCAATATGCCATCCATCCATCCTCCTCATTCACCATCATTACCCCATTTGATCCTAACATCACCAACTCTCCAATCAAGATCATTCTTCCTGTTGCTCGCATTCTCGCAAGACTCTGGTCTGAGAACAAGACACCATAGCTTCGAGGCTCGCCGTCTTTTATGGCCAATGAGAAGAGGTAATTTAGATTAGTGAGCTTCACCACCTGCTTGTCCTTCGTCAAAAGCCATGGAAGGTCACTAGCAATGAGTTTTGGCTCTTGGAATGCCAGTAGATTCCTGTAAAAGTACTCCTCCGGTCCTAATTATAAGACCCAATTGACTTATTTGAGGAGATTAAGGAAGTAAGTTAAGTTGGTTATTTATAATAAATAAGTGTTGTTATTCCTAAAATATCCTTGCTAATTAAGTATATTGGCTAAAACTATCATTATTAGAAGGATTATCTTGGAAAAAAATGCATAAATATAAGAGAGAAAATGGATTGGGTCTTATAATTAGGACCAAATAAAAAGTCAAATTGGGTCTTATAATAAAGACCGGAGGAGTAATTTTTTAGTCGTAACTAGATTGTGCTATCCCGTGCCACGCACAGGAGCGATTACTATAGAATAAATAAACACGTCAGAAGATTTTTGTTTCAAACTATGTGAATAAGTGCTTTTTTCTTCTTACAACATGTGAATAAGTAGTGGACAGTAGATGAGAAGAGAAGAAGATTTCTCAAAACTTTTTAAAACAAAAAATAAAAAACACAAAAACAAAAACAAGAAAACATTTAAAAGTTGTTTTGGTTTTTTGGTTTTTAAAAACATGTTACTGTTTTTTGTTTTTTAAAACAATTAACTAAAAATAAGTTACCAAACAAGTTTTTTTTGTTTTTTTTATTTTTAAAAAAAAAAATTGTTTTCAAAACAAGAAACCAAACAAACCTTAATTCTCTCCTTTTAATTTTCATTCTTTTTATTTGAAATAAGTAGTGTGAATAACAAATATATTAGTTTTTGTATCCACAAGTAATAAAAAAGTGTCCTATTATTGTCTAAAGCATGGTACATTCAACTGATTTCTCCTTTGGTAGCTCATTATCGCGCGCACAAGTCGTCTTTTTCTCTTCGCCAATTCACGAGCTGCACTCACAAGATGATATTTAGACTCTTGAAATCACACGCGAACAATATGGGACTTTTTATGAGAAAAATGGTAAATGAAGATTCCTAATATGTGAAATTGCGATTTAGGACCCTCAATTTGAAAAATGACAAATAAAGACCTGGTTCCATATTATAAATATGAAATCTTGATGAAATGTCTAAAATGCCTCTTAGTTAAATTGTAATTTGATCTAATGAAGTTGTTATTCGCTAAAGTGAACTTGTTATTTCTTATAGTTAACTTGTCATTTGGCATACCCTTAACCAAGTTGTGATTTGATCTACTAAAATTGTCATTAGTTAAAATGAATTTGTCATTTCCCATAGTCAACTTGTCATTTGGCTGAGGGGCATTTCAGATATTTCACTAAGATTTCATATTTGCAATATGGGATCGGGTTTTTATTTGCCATTTTTCAAATTGAGGGTATCAAATTACAATTTCACATATTGGGAAGTCTTTATTTGTCTTTTTTTTTTATCTGACATACCTACACAATATCACAACAACACACATCATACCATAATACCGATATCATCATATAAGACTTTTTTCTTTGATGGAATTTATTTTAGCGGTTCTTACCCTCCCATAATAAGGATGATAGGGGTTGCATGTGAAAGAAATAGTTTTTAAGGATGATAAATTCAAGAAGGGTAAATTAAAATAGTTAAAAATAACTCACATATATACACACTATTTGGTAATTATAATAGGGGTAAAAAAATAATATTTTAATTTTTAAAAATAATGCTAACTTTCTACACTTTATATCTAGTGTATAAAGTTAAATTTAATTTTTACTTAAATTTTTAAAAAAATTTTACGCTCGTTGGTGTCAATAACTAATGTGAAAAATTATTTACAGCTTTTTTAAACAAAAATTAATTAAATTATCGGTCTCCATGTTTTTCTCCCACTGACCTTGGCGGCTGAACGTTCTTCTTATTTCCCTAATCTCTAGTTCATCACTCGAGGCCATGTAAGGTCCATTCTTACGGGCAAGGCCGTATTACAATAGAGCTACCCAGCCTACTCATTACCGAGAACCTTCGGCCTCCAGTGAAAGCGGACCCTTTCGTCTCTGCCATCTGAGCTCAAATGGAAAGCCACAGTAGCAGTACCGAATACCGGTGGAGAGCTGAAGACGCCATTGCTGGCAACGCGAAAGCTCTTCAAGCTCTCAGAGAGCTCATCATATTCCCGCTTCTCTACTCCCGCCAAGCTAAGAAGCTCGGTATCAAAGTAAAGCTTCTTCCTTTCTCTCTATCCCTCTTTTCCCTTTACCGTTTTGGGTTCAAGCTATGAACACTCCCACATCATATATATATATATATATATATATGCTTAAGTGCTAGAATTGCATGATTATGATTAGATGAATTCATCTCTTTCTAGGCCACTGTTGTGTTTATTGCTTTTTTGTTTTATTGTGCTTTCAGTGGCCGCAAGGTTTGCTGCTGTACGGTCCTCCAGGCACTGGAAAGGTAACTTCTTCAAATGTTCCATTCAATTTAACATGGTACAGAGGTGTGGACCAACCCTGTTCCTTCCATTGTATTGGTTGGTAGATAACTAGATATAAACAATAACGTAATTTCGTCCTTGAAGTAAAGAACAATGTTGAATTCGTGGTTTAATCATATCTTGCCTTCAAATGGTGAGGCGTTTTTTATTTCTGATCTTGAACGCCATGTATAATCTGTTATGATACTAATCAAGTTGTTTTTGAAGCTTTAATTAATTGTTTTGTATACAAATATTTGTATATCTCGTGCATTCTACAGAACCTTCCAGTTCGAGTCATGCGACGCAATGTCCTGTTTGGTTTGCTTTCTGTTCAGTATGGCTTCATGGGCTACCCAGTGGGAGGTTACTTTTAGTTGGAAAATGCTTGGTTTAGGCTTTAAAATCAATTCAAGTTTATTGCATTTCTGGTGTCTTTCAACAGCAATGAGTAATTAAGATTGATAAGATAACCGGATGATTTTGCGATATATTGTTCTTAATGGTTTAGAATTATCATTTTGTTTCGCTAATTCAATTTCATATTTAATATTTGATGTCTCATTGCTATCGCAGACAAGTCTAGTACGAGCAGTTGTTCAGGAATGTGGAGCACATTTGACAATCATCAGGTTCTTTCTTTCTTTCTTTCTTTCCTTTTTTTAAATTTATGTTTGGGGATCTTGTGTTCCAGAGCTCTAGTCTAAGTGAGTTGTCTGTCCTTATTTTTCTGTTTATGTATTTTGCAGTCCTCATTCTGTCCATAAAGCACATGCTGGGGAAAGCGAGAGAATTCTCCGTGAGGCCTTTGCACAGGCATCATCTCATTCAACTTGTGGCAAGCCATCAGTTATCTTTATAGATGAAATAGATGTACTCTGTCCTCGGCGAGATTCAAAGTAAGGGGCAACTGGTAACTGTTCTGTTTTATATTTATTTAATTTTTCTCAGCATTTGCTTCATCTGTGTCATAAAGTGTTTTGCTATAGTGAAATGACTTGTAAATACATCATCACAGTTTTGTCATAGTAGAGAAAATGTTATATGGTGTTCAGTAGAACTCCCCACCGTAATAATTAGATTAGTGATGATAGCATTAAAAGTTCTCCATTAAGTTAATGGAGCAACCATTACTAGGCTAATTTCTTTGCTGACGGATTCTGAAGGAAAGATGGCCTTTGGCAGACTTTATAATTACAAGTCATGGTCACAAACCTGTGATATGATCATGTTTGGTCACACCATGACCGTCTATAGTGGTCTTAATCATGGGCAAGAAATCAGTTTGCTATTGTCGTTTCAGAAGAAAAAATCTTAATTTTTTTTTCCTACTACACGGAACTTGTTTTATTTTACTTTATTTACTTGTAAAATATTTGAGCTAGTGTAATATTGATGAGTTCTAGAAAATTTTTAATGTCATATGTATAAACATTTGCCATAAATTCACCAAAAAACATTTGCGATGATATCTTCTATTAAGCAAAATACATGGCTTGAACTGATTTTAGTGAATTCAGAGATAATATACTTATGCATGCAGCATGCATACTAATTTCATCTTTTTTTCACTTCATTATTCTCTATATTCTCTACATGCAGGAGGGAGCAAGATGTTCGGATTGCTTCCCAGCTTTTTACATTGATGGATTCAAATAAACCATCCTCATCCACACCAAGAGTTGTTGTCGTTGCATCAACTAACAGGTTGTCTTTTCTGTTCTAAAAGGTTGATATGTACAATTATATGAATTGAAATCATAAGGGTTTAATGTGTATTGGTCCTCACCGTTTAGAATTATTTATTTGTATCTGTTTTTTTCAACCTACATGCTGTGCTTAATATCTGACTGAATGTGAATATTTATTATACTATGTATATGATGCTCTATGTGGTTGTTACAACAAGAATGTTTTGATTATCTGGCGTTTTAGAGCCTTTTTGCATGCCTTGATGGATCACTTAAGATTCACGTGCTCGTATACAATATTCTGTCATTTAGAGCCTTTCTTCCTGGAAGCGATGCTAGAACCTGGAAATTTCCTATTAGTCCTGATTCTTTGAAGCCTGTGGTCTTAATAGTAGAATTCTGGTGTCTTTTACAACTGTTTTAGTCTGGTCGCTGCAGTTCTATTTGTTGTTATTTATAAAATTTATTTCTGCATTTAATCTGGTTTCTGCATACAGGGTGAATGCAATTGATCCAGCCCTTAGAAGGTATGGACGTTTTGATGCTGAAATTGAAGTTACTGCCCCAAATGAAGAGGAGCGTTTTCAAATTCTTAAGGTTTATGTTTTGAAATGCTGATGGAATTCTGCTATCAACTGCTTAATGATAAAAGATTAAAAGTCATCGTTGAATTTTTCTACCATTTAGCTGTTTTGTAGGATTCTTGATTTCTAAAGTTCAACCGTGTCAGCTAATCTGATATCTAACAACTGACTTTCAGCTTTACACAAGGAAGATTCCCTTGGATCCCAGTGTTGACTTAAAATGATAGCTGCATCTTGCAATGGATATGTTGGGGCTGATTTGGAAGCCTTGTGCCGTGAGGCTACTACATTAGCAGCTAAAAGGTCCGGAGATGCAAATGGAAATGCTGGTCTCTTAAGCATAATGATGGAAGATTGGAACAATGCGAGATCTGTTGTTGGTCCAAGCATAACAAGAGGTGTTACAGTGGAAATTCCTAAAGTGACTTGGGATGATATTGGCGGATTAAAAGAATTAAAAGTTTGTACTTTGTAAATTATACATTTGACATCACTCTGGTATCAACCGAGATTAATGGTAGTTGTCTGTATCCTTGAGCAGAAAAAGCTTCAGCAAGCTGTTGAATGGCCTATCAAGCATTCTGAAGTATTTTCTAGATTGGGCATTTCCCCAGTGCGAGGGATTCTCTTGCATGGGCCTCCAGGATGTTCCAAAACAACCCTTGCCAAAGCTGCTGCACATGCAGCCCAAGCTTCTTTCTTTTCCTTGAGGTTTTAACAATTTTCTATATTTTATTAGGGTTTCCCTCTGCCTTGCATGATTAAGACTTGGTATTCATCTCATATGGAGCAAACCAATGGATGCAACTGGGTCATATTTATTCACATATAGAGTCTTTTAGGTCAGAGAATTGACAACTAGTTATATGAAGTCCTACAAAACATTATCGTTGCTCCTGTACATGAGAGTTGCTTGCTCTTGGAATCTCTTTCATTTCAACTATTTGTTCTTTTTTATCTTTCTACCCCTTCCATTGACATGAGATACTTTTGATGCTTTTTTGAAATATATGTTGATCCTTGAAAGATACTCCTATCATCAATTTCATCCTTAAAAGTTTATATATATTATTATCAATTTAATCCTTTTTTTAGATAAAATTTTTAAGTCCTGATTGCTCACTTAGGATTTAATTGATAACTATAAACTTCTTGTTCGTGACAAAAATGATGTATTTCTAAAACCTTAGAACTGAACTAATGACAATAAACTTTTGGATCAAAACTAAACAAATTAATGACCATAGACTTTCAAGGACTAAATTGATAATTGTGGTATCTTTCAAGGATTCATATGGTAGTTAAACTCTACTCCTTTGATCCTATTTATAAGTCACTTTCAACATGTTTCACACAACGCAAGGAAAACTTTAAATTTTATTAACTCATTTAAAATTTAACAATTTTTCAACTTTATTCCTATTTAATATATATTATATTTCATGTAAATGAAGTCAACACAATAATAAATGAAGGGTAAAATTGGATATCCATACAAAAAATTTCTCTTAGTGCCCTATAAATAGGATCAAAAATATCTTCTCTCTCTACCCTATAAATAGGACCATAGGGGTACTTTCCTTACATCAATGATCTCATACTTTGATTTGTTTTATATTCTGTTGATCCATATGATTGTATTTCTATTTAAAGCATTTTTTTGCAATTGAGTTTCCATGCAAAATTTATTTATAAGAGATGAAAAACCTTAAAATGATAGATGATGGGTTAGTGGTGCAGAAATGTATTCGATGTATGTAGGAGAGGGGGAAGCATTGCTTCGGAATACATTTCATAGGGCACGGCTTGCAGCACCCAGCATAATATTTTTTGATGAGGCTGATGTGGTAGCCGCAAAACGGTGAGTTGCTAATCTGTTTTAATGATTTCTCTGCATATGTAATCTATGCTAAACATGATTGTGATGTGCTGTGGGGATTTTATTATTGCTTTATAATTCCTGTGACAAACTATCGAAAAGTGAATTGTTGTCATAGAGACTAAGGAGGTATGAGCTGCTTAGCCCCACAGTAAATAATATGGGTTGTTCTTTGGTGTATGTAGTGGATTTAGTTCTCTCACTTGTAGCTCCCCGCCTTCCCATCCCTCATGGAAAGGGGGTTGTTCCCTATCTCTCTTGGAGTACTTAAGTGGCTCCATAAAGGACTAATTATAGGTTTCTGATTGGTGCAAAAGTCGATTGACGTGTACCTGTTGGGATGTCAGCTTTCCTGGGTAGTCAATTGAGATCATGGCAGTGTAGGTTATTTAGTCTCGTGTTGAGCAACGCATGATATTTAATAGGGTACTCGAGTAGGTTGGTTCTTCTGCCCCATGCATGATTTTTGGAATATGTTAATCAGTACACAAGTGCTTAATATATAGTTAATGGTTACTTTGCAATTTTTTTGCTTTCTTATCTTATACTTCTTTGGTTCTTAATATAGGACATAATTGTTGAATTGGTCTTGGTCCTAAATGTAAGACTTATTTATCATATTTATCGGTTTTTCCCAATTACCCTTATTGATACTCCCTCAACCATAATTAAGTAAGAAAGGGAGGGGGATATTAAGGAGGATGATTATGGTGTTTTAGGAAAAACGTCATATTTCTTATAATTAACTAGCTTACCTAACTTCTTTAATCTAATCCAATTAGTTAAATAAATCTTATCTTAAGGACCGGAGGAGTATTACTTATTTCCCAGTTGGAGCAAAATATGCCCTTCTTGATTATAGTTAATATCCTTATGCATGACCCTTCCCTGCCGAACTGTTTCATTTTTCAAAACAACTTGATCGTGCATATACTATTTCAAACACATGTATATGAGATTCAAAAAGGTGCTTGATTTAATATAAGCATGTGCAGGGATTTTAGTGCACCCATTAGTTTATGTTGATTCTGCAGTTTTTTTCCTTTGTTTCTAAACTCATCAATATATATTTTTATGGTGGCTTTTCTGAAGAACTTGTTTTTTCAAGTAGTTTCTATATCATTCATTTGAACTATAAAATCCATGCTTAGTTTAATTATGATTGCATGACATATCCATGTAGAACCAGACATACTACGCATGACAAATAAGTGGATATGCATTTGACAATGTTCTCAAAAAATCCAGTAAATTATCTTCTAAGAACGTTGTATCATATTTCTGGTGAAAAATTCTGGGAAATAATAATGTAGAGAGGAAAGTCAGCTGTGGAAAAAAACCAAATTGGACCATTGAAAGTTAAGTTCTTTTTTGACTTCATTGATGCAAATTTTTTGTGCATTGGAGCAGAGAATTTTTTTCCATTTCCTGTGCATAAGTGCTGATTTGAAGTTCTCCCTTAACAGGGGTGATTCTTCAAGCAATAGCAGTACGGTTGGAGAGAGGCTTTTATCCACCCTCCTGACTGAAATGGATGGTTTAGAAGAAGCTACAGTAAGCTTTCTGTGATTGCTTGTGTGTACTGTTGCTTATGAAAACATGTTATTCCTTCCTTAACCTTCAGTTGTCTCTTATAAATCCGTGTATCTGACTATAAGCTGTATTGAAAGAATAAAGTACACGTTACATGAAATGATAATTTTTCTTTCAATCAAGTTCCCTATTCTAGAGAATGGAGGTGGTCTTCTGGTTCTCCCTTACATTATGACTATATCCATTGTCAATTTTCAGGGAATCCTTGTATTGGCAGCCACAAATCGCCCTTATGCAATAGACGCTGCACTAATGCGCCCGGGGCGTTTTGACCTGGTGAGAACTAGGATATGCTACCTAACTTTTCTTCCCCCCCCCCCCCCCCCAAAAAAAAAATCCATACTTGTGGTTCACACGGTTTTGTTCTCAATATAAAGTTTGCATGTAACTATGTTCAGCTGAAAAACTGAGATTTATGAAAATGTTGAGAAACCAATCAAACGAGAGACTCCCAAGAAATTAGGAGTTGATTGTTTTTATCTCCCAGCATCATCTTTAATCTTAGTTAGTACTTTTCTTCATTATTATAAACAAATGGAAAGTGGGGGATTCAAATATTCTATCTCACTCGTCTTTTTTTTCCCCCCTTTTTTTTGGTGGGCTGAATTGATAGGTGCTGTATGTGCCCCCACCTGATTTGGAAGCTCGATATGAAATACTCTGTGTACATACACGTGGCATGAAGCTAGGGAATGATGTCAATCTCTGTAGACTAGCAGAAGATACTGAGCTATTCACAGGTGCCGAACTTGAGGGTTTATGCAGGGAAGCCGGAATTGTTGCTCTAAGAGAAGACATATCAGCTACTGTTGTGTGTGACCGCCATTTTCAGGTTGTGAGAAATTCTGTGAATCCAGCATTAACAAAAGAAGAAATTGATTCCTATTCATCTTTCATGAAGACCTCGTCTTCTGCATTTTCTAGGCATGTAGAATCAAGTTCAAAACATGATAGAAAGAAAAGTAGTAACATTTTAGGCTCCATGGTTAAACTTGGTATTTCAGCTGTATGCTACTTGTTGCTGCTAAATACTTTTTCATGCATGAAGAACAATCTGTAAATGAAGTGGCTGTCACATGAAGAATGTATACCATTTTGTTTGTAGCCTTACTGTTAGCTCGGTTTAACATTCAAAATCCATTGAAGTGCATGTTTCTGGTTTTTTCTTGTATTGGAATCTATGCTTTTTGCAGATTTGATCTGATCTGATCCAAACTCCTTATTAGTTCTTAATTTGATTCTGTTAATTGGCGTTCGGTATTTGAGAATTGGGAATTAAGTTTCAATAAGGAATTTGAATAAAACCTCTTGCCCATAGTTTTCCTCAGATTAATTTGGGCCCAAGGCTATGTTAAACCATATATGGCTGTAAATCTACAGCTACTTAGTGATGATAGGTATCGTCCGTGAGAAATTCTTAGGTACTCTGGGAGTACCACCTCACTTGAACACTGTCCAATTAAATCGCACCAAATCAGTGGATGGCAGGCCCACATGTCAGTCTACATGGCACATTTTCAATAGGAAAAATTTTATTAAAAAAATTCTGTTAAAATTGTTTTCTCTCTCCCATTTTTCAACACCCCTCTCTTCAATTTTCTCTCTCTTCTACGTCTTCTCTTTCCCATTTTTCCGAACTCTCTTTACTCCTCCTTTTCCTCTTCATTATCCTTCGCCAGTTTTTCTCTTCTCACCCTCTCAAATTTCTCTCTCTTCTGCGTCTTCCTTTCCCCATCTTTCATGACGGTCCTTTCTCTCTTTTTTTTTTTTCTACTTCTTCTTTCCCATTATCCTTACCATTTTCCCTCTCTCTCGTTACTCTTCGTCCTTCCTCTGGCCATTTTTTCCAAAGATGAAGAATTGCATTACAGCATACCAAATCCTAAAGCATAATGGGGGTAAATTGAGAAGTAACGTTTTTACTGAAAAATAAGAAGCTGGGTGCTGGCATCTTGCATTTCCTCAAATTTTTTTAAAATCCATCTTGCCCCATTTTGTTTTGTTACTACTTAGTTGTTGAAGGATGAAGATGAATGAAGGAGCTGAGTGCCGGGGAACAAACATAGCTCTCATAATCTTAAAATTCATCGAGTGTTCATAGATGAATCTTGTTCGGGTGACACTCTTCAAGAGCTTGAGCACAAGCTAACCTTGGCTAACAAAATAACGCGTAGGCGAGGCATTGTGGAGGCGAGGTGTGGTGAAATTGGGAGGATGCAATATGATGGATGAAAAAAAAAGAAATCGAAAAGGTTTTACAAAAAGAAGAAGAAAAGAAAGAACAAATGGATTGGTAGGATAAGCATGATGAAAGGAGGAGAGAAAAGTTGGCAAAGAATAATGAAAAGAAGAGGAAAAGCAGAAGTAAAGAGAGTCGGAAAAAATGGGGAAGGGAAGACGCAGAGAGAGAGAAAATAGAAGAGAGGGGTGTTGAAATGAGAGAGAGAAACAATTTTAACAGAATTTTTTTAATAATTTTTCCTATTGAAAATGTGCCATGTAGACTGACATGTGGGCCTGCCATCCACTATTTGGTGCGATTTAATTGGACAGTGTTCAAGTGAGGTGATACTCCCAGAGTACCTAAGAATTTCTCATCGTCCTTTCATTGGTGTTAATAATTTGATATTTGCGTTTCACGTGTCGTTGTGTGTTTATGTTATAGTCCTTCTGGTAGTCAGAATATTCTCACGATAGTATAAGGAACAGTTTAAAACTTGCAGGGAATAATTATAGTCATTCATTTGCTTTATAAAAATAAAAATAGTTATTATTTATTGGGAAAAGTTTGAAAATACTGAAAGAGTTAATTAAATATATTTATGAATAAATGTGAACATAAATTAAAAAAACTTTTTTTATCTCAACATATGCTCACTTTCACTCTAGCAAGAACTCACGTTTCATAATTGAATCCAAACAAAGTCTTAAGTTTTTAGACTCATTAATAGATACTGAATAACTCAAATAAAGATACTCTCTCCCGGTTCTAAATATAAATCCCCTTCATAGTGTAAATTACACGACAAAAATGGTCTTATATTTAGAACTGAAGGAGTAGATAATTTGGTCTAAGGCCTTATTAAAAGCTGAAAATGCAAAATTATATATCTATACAAGTGTATTTATGCGTATGTATGTAGAATCCAAACAACTTAAAATGATGTAATTGGAATTTGATTTGAAGCCTTCATGCCATCTGAAGGCCATGGGTTTTCACATTCTCTACTTTTTCAAGCTTTCAGGGCCCTATAATATGACTTTTACTTCTTCTTCTTCTTTCTTCTTCTTTTCCCTTTTATACAAGAAACAAAGGTGCAATTCATATTCTAAACCCTAAAGATAAAAGAAGTCTTTACTAAGAAAAACTTGCGGTCAACAATACTGCACTTCTTCATATCAAACCTACCAGCTAAAAGGTGTGCATTCACATGAATGACCTACTTAATTATCATCTAGTTTGAATATGAAAGTGGGGAATTGCTGTTTTTTGTCTTGGTTGTAATGATCAAACGATCTTGACCTTCCTCTTGCAAACTTGATCCCACCTAAGATCGAACGTAATCCTATGTTTGACATGAGGCAAATGGAGGACTCAACCTGAAGCTCAGAGGACCTTTATGGACATAATCAATATGTTTTATTTTTATTGGACATAAATCAATCAAGCCATGAACACACACACATATATAATTATTTATATTTTATGCCAAAAATATGTTTATTATTTTTATATAAATCAGTGACTCCCTCTCTATCAAAAAACTTCAGATCAACTTGCAACAACTATGAAGTAAGAATATTTTAAACAGCTGTATTTGTATAATCTCCATGTGCAATCAATAATAAGAAGAATTTAGAAAAAATATTATAAATTTAAAAGTCTTACATTTAAAAATAAAGATATAAAGAAATATTACTTTTTAGAGTAATACTCTAAGCATTTTGTCCTAATTATACGAACATCTCCTCTTTTTAAAAACATACACTTAATCCAAATTGTTAACTCTCTTAAAAATATTCTAAAAATTTTTTTTAATTAAAATTTCATTTGAAATACTTTTTTTTACTAATTTATCCTTCATATACTAAATCTCTAAATTTTAACTAAACTATTTTAAAGAATTTAAGATTTTTTTCTTTACCTTATTTTATTTTTTATTGTTGCAAATAATTATTTTTTTAATGTTTTTATCATATTGGGATAGAAATTAAGTAATTTAGTTAATGTGAACATTAAAA